AAGCAGCTTTCATGAGATGATTGAATAACAGCAGTACCTTATTCGTATATCTCTGACATGAACTACTTAAATCGTGACTTGTCATGCCAAAAATGAGCGCTGTTTTTTGCTGTGGAGTCTACACCTCATAAAGTTGATGCGAATGCACAAAAGGGGCCTATTATATAGTCTATTACTTATCAAATCAGAGTTAAACATCAAAACTGACTTGGACTTCAAATCTGATAGGCTTTCCTAATCCACTCCCTCCTGTCTTTCAACTGCTACTGCTGGTGCACCACGCAGTTCGGTAGAGAGCGTGCTTATTTGGTAGTTAGATGGGTTATTCACAATCAGGACTATTACTTTCCTCATCACACCACCAACGAATTTTAGAATGAAGGCAGAACTCATGGCGCATCCCAAAAAGGCGTTTGCAGATGAACATACACACGCACACACCTCTAACATGGAATTGATTACTTGAACATTCTGCGACTAATGTTAGTCTAACGGTAAAGTCGTAGTCAAATTTCAGTATGATTTTCAGCATGAAAACAGATTGGCGAAAAAAGGGACTGATCGTAGCCTACTTGATTTCCCAATGCAACATTGTTAAACCCTAACTTTGCATGTAAATAATGATCCAAGTTTTTGATATTATCTGTCCTCTCTGCCTCGGTACACACTCTCGTACCGTGAGGAACACATAAGTCCACATTCGCTAGTCACTAGTCACCTCCCAGCCTTAGGAAAATTTCACGAGTTATGAATTTAGCTCCGTCCACCGGAGCTTATGAGCTACTTTATCTTTTGCTAGCACGTAGTATAGTCTGGAACAAAGTTGTGAAGCTTCAGAGAAAGCGATCATGCTGTATTCGAGGAGTAGCTGCATACTACGAGTATCAACCGAAAGGCTCGAGATGACAGCTGAGCTAGACGAGCGTAATATGGAAGTTAGGAGATAGGAAGATACGGCTGCTTGGAATAAGGTACACTTCAGAATGAAAATCAGGCATCACTACAAGGGTATCATTCAAGTACGCTGCCACTTCTAACCCCTTGTATGTCCGACACTTAGGGAGGTGCTGCATACCGGAACTGGGTTTCGGCGCCCAATT